AAATGTTTCATGTGGATTTTGTAATAAAGCATTAACCTAGTATTGCAGCTTAGCTCCTATAAGGGGCTTTTTTTCCCCCCCTAAAGATCCTCATTTAGTAAATTCTGAAAATGAATTCCATAAATGTCTTTAATATACAGAACAACTGATGATACTGGCATTATGGCTTCATTGTACAGGGTTGGAGTCTGTGTGCTGAGCTTAAATAAGCCTCTGAAAGGCAATACATTTGAGTAGGCAGTGATGAATTACAAAAAAAATGGTGGTTTATTCAGTTATTGAAACAGTTGGTCAGTTGTGTCAATTTTGTGGATAATTCTGTTTAGTTTAGAACAGAATTTAGGGAAAATCTGTCAGGGTGATGAAGCTATCCACTCTGTTCCTCAGTGAAATGAGGTGGTTAGTTGTTTGCTCTTGTGCCGGGATTCTTCTCCCTCTTTCTTCCTTTTCAATGTTTACTGAGAATTTTGTGTCTATCAAGGGCTTCATAGAAGGCTGGTTGAGTATCTGCATTTGGGTAGGAGTTTGGTTTGTTTAAATGCTTTGTAAAACTATGGAATTTTTTTTTTTTTTTTTCTTCTTACCAATTACAAGAGTGTCAGGTGGAAAATCCTCATGATTGGGTAAACTAAATAATGTAAAAGCTACTTCAGTTTGGGGACGAAAACCAGCAGCAAATAAGAGGTAACAGTATAGATAATTAAAATGAGAAGGCTTAATTTCATGACTACTTGTTTTCTTAGGTTCAGAACTGGAACAGTGAGATTCTTGCTAAACAGAAACCACTGGTTGCCAAACCTTCAGCAAAACTGCATTTTGTAAATCGACTAAAAGGCAAAAAGTACAAAACCAGCACCGCTTCCAAAGTTTTGCAGGACGCCAGTAATTCTATTGATCATCGACTTCCAAACTCTCAGAGGGTAGGTTTGGCGAGCTGTGGCGATCACAGCCTTTACTCATCTTTGGTCAGAACTACAGAAAACACGTTCCTGCAGGTGTCCCCTTTCCTTTCACCTGACTTAAACGTGATGCACAGTCGGCCCTTTTACAGCTGCCTCATAGATGGTGCCAGCTTTAAGCTTCACCTGCTACTGGAGCATCTCTTTTCCTGGTGGATTTTCTAAAGTTAGAGCTCGGCTTGCACATGTATTTTATTTCTATCTCTTCTAGACCCTGCTTCTCCGAACATCAAAGAATCTTGTTTTTCTGATTCTGACAGTAGGAGATATTTTTATCATATTTTTTTAGGTTATTGGACTCTGTGACACAAGTCTGGTAAAAATAAAAGCATGGAGCCATTTCGTATAGGTGAGCGATGAGTGCTTTTGACCATAGACCCGAGGAGACAATGGAAACTGTTCCCTGCTGTTCTTGTTTTGTTCTCTCCTGGTCACTTGGGTTTTTGACGGATTCATGGCTGAGGAGCAGCAACTCCAGCTGTACTGACTGGAGCACTGTTTCTGTTTCAGGGAATGAAACATTTCTAATGTATTTTACCCTCCAAAAATGTGCTATATCATATTTTTTGTTACGATAAATCTCTCTCTATAGAACCGGATGACTAAATTTTTTTTAATGGCTTTCAGACAGGCAAACATCACACAGATTACTGGGATAAAACTGCGATGCAGTTGTCTTGGTTTTAGGTACTCCTTGAGTTCAAAATAACCCTAACTCTTCTCTCCTCTTCAGAAAAACAGCCGAGAGATGATGGCAGATGAAGGGTTCTTTGATCTGCTGAGTCGATTCCAGAGTAACAGGATGGATGATCAGAGATGCTACTTCCAAGAGAAGAACAGAATCTCAGCTGCTGCAGTGGCAACATCCTCTACTCCACCTAAAACAATGAGAAAATGTAAATTTTTAAAAGTAAAATCCGTATCTGACTTTAGTTCCTGCCAAACCCTATTTTAAAAACGTATTTATGTGTAAGACTTGCTATGGAAAGGAGCTTTTTTTCTAGGCTAACTTGTTTTCTTTCTCCTCTCCAGCCTTTTCGACGTCCGTAGTCTCGCCCCACACAGACGAATTTCTAGACCTCCTTGCCAGCTCACAGAGCCGCCGGCTGGATGACCAGCGCGCCAGCTTCAGCAACCTCCCCGGGCTTCGACTCAACCAGCACAACAGTCGCTCAGTCCTGGGTCACCTCATGGCCAGCAGCAACAGGGAACTAGACGATGACTTCTTTGATATATTGATAAAATGCCAGGTAAGTTGGTTGTTTTTTTTTTTTTACAAAAATTTGTCAAAGTCTGAATCTTTGGAGATTCGATTTGTGCATCCTGCTATTTAGTTTCTTCAAGTGAGTAAGCCACCTTGTTTATCGGGTGTTTTAAGATACAAATTGATTTGGTGGATAAAGAAGAACAAGATTTGCTTCCTCCCCCCAGTTTATCCATTCACACTAGTAATTTTGCTATGATAATTAACCATTTAAAGTAACAAATGCTGAAAAAGTGAAGGAAAACAAGCGAGGCTATTAAATGGAGTATGTAAGATTTTAAGAGAAAGTGTTAAATCTGGCACCTGATACACGAAGAATCCCAGCTTAACAAATGAAAGAATTCAGTATCCAAGTTTTAGTGGTGAATAGTGATCATCATTCCAATCATGTTGAGGTTAAGTGATAGTTTGTAACAAGCAACAAGGGAAGTGCCCGATGCCAGCATGGTATTTGGTTAGACCAAAAATATTTAATTTAGAAGACGTGGTGTTTTACCTGATGAGTTGCTAAGGATCAAAAAAATACAAAATTCACACACTGAGTTCTCTGAAGATAAGTAAGTATCTTAGCATGGGTGGGAAAGTAGCACCTGGAACCAAGTCTACAATGCCAAGTGTTGATCAGCCTGGTGAAATACCACGTTCTGTTACAGCAGCTTGGCTGCTTCCTTCTTGGAGTCAAGCCAAGAATTTAGGGATGACGGTGAACTAAATTGAGGGTTTTGTTTAGAGATACATGTGGACAGGTGGTTTGCCGGAATCATTTGAACTATGCTTGCACTCAATAATTTCATTTGAGAAGTTTAACTTGAACTCAAACTTAGAAATTAAATCCTTGTAATAGCTTTACATCTGAAAACAAAAGCTTGTCATAATTCTTTGCTTGTACTTGTCACTTATTTTATGATACATATTCCTGTAAATCTGCAGCTTTATTGCTTGGTCTGTCTGTAGGGTTCCAGACTGGATGATCAAAGATGTGCTCCTCCACCATCTGCAAAAGGACCAACCGTACCAGATGAGGATTTTTTCAGCCTGATCTTACGCTCACAAGCAAAGAGAATGGATGAACAAAGAGTCCATTTACCCTCAACTATAAAGGGACCAAATTCCAGCTGAAGAAAGAACCGGGCATGTACTGCACAGCAGCAGCGTCAGTATCATTTCTGTTCGCTGGAGAAAGGAGACTGCAGTTAGGAGTTGTGTCCCCTTTCCAGTAACTTTTTGTATAAATAGCAGCAGCATCACCTCCGTGACCCATCGTTAAGAGTTGCCGCTGCTCTTGGTATGGGCATTGGTACCTCCCTCCAAACCTCCTTTAGTTGATGAACAGTAAGGAATTTTTTCTCCCTGTCAAAGTATTCTCATTGTTGGTATCTGGGTTCTACCACTGTCTCCACCTACTGCAAGACCTAAAGTTGTATATTCTTTCTAAAGAAAAATTATTTTCCCCCGATTTGTACCTCTCTGAAAAAAAAAGGTCCTGTTTTCTTTTTATACTTTTTTTTAAAAATTAAAAAAAACTTCAGAAATAACTTCATTAGTTAGTATCTTTGTTCCCTCTGAATTGTGTTTCTGAAATAACTTTTAGTAAAAAAAAGTAAATCCGAGTTAAAATTCTTTAATACAAAATAGCTTTTTAAAAAAAAATGCTGGGTTATTTTGGTAAATAATCATGAACTGTTTCATGTAATACTCAGACCAGTTTTACCATCAGAAGAATTTTTTTTAAGCTGACGTGCTTGTAAGCCTGAGGGTTCTACGTAAGTGTAGGGATCTTGAGGTAGAAATTTTTACAGATTCTGTCAGATTTTATCAGATTCTGTTAGATTGTCAGATTCCATTAGATTCTATCAGATTCCATCAGATTCAAGCAGATTCTGTTAGATTCCATTAGATTTTATCGGATTCTGTTAGTTCCTATCAGATGTTGTTATAGCCTATCAGATGTTAGATTCTATCAGATTTTTATCAGATTCTGTCAGCTTCTGTCAGATTCTATCAGAGTCTGTTAGTCTATTAGATTTTTTTTTATCAGATTGTTAGATTCTGTCAGATTCTGTTAGATTTTATCAGATTCTGTTAGAGTTTTGTCAGATTCTGTCAGATTCTATCAGATTCTGTTAGAGTTTTGTCAGATTCTGTCAGATTTTATCAGATTGTCAGATTGTTAGATCCTATCAGATGTTGTTAGAGCCTATCAGGTTCTGTTAGATTCCATTAGATTCTGTTAGACTCTTTCAGATTGTATCAGATTCTGTTAGACTCTTATCAGAATCTGTGCGATTCTATCAGATTCCGTACAATTCTATCAGATTCTGTTAGACTCTGTCCAATTCTATAGGATTCTGTTAAGAGTCTGTCAGCTTTTAACAGATTCTATAGGATTCTATCAGTTTCTATTAGATTGTTATATTCTCTCAGATTCTATAGACCTCTGCCATTCCTTAGAATTTATCAAATTCTATCAGCTCTTGTAGAATTACACAAATTTTATAGAATCCTATTAAATTCTGTTTCATCTTACAGAATTCTACAAAACTCTAGAGATACCTATTTTTTTTACCTAAAATGTATTACACAAACTCCATTTCAAACAAGCAGCAACACCTCCAAGGCTGTCTCCTTGGCCAGGTACAGCTGTATTAGCAGATTCCTGAACGCTTATGTAGACTGTGTCCCTCTGTTTTTAGAGCCCCACGTTACCGCTACGCACACTCGTGCTCTCACCAGAGCTCAGTTCCCAAGGTTCCCTTTTTCCACCTTTGACTATTAACTCAGACAAAACTCACCACGGAGCTCGGGGCTTCTCTCGTCTCGGTCTGTGAGTCACGTGAGCTGCTCCTTTTCTTCTTGTGACATGGTTCAACCTCCGAATTCTTCCTTTCCTGGTTTCTACCAGCATCACAATTTTCTTCCGTCTCTTGCTCTGCTTTGCCTGTCCCCTGTTTCTGCTGCTCAAGTGCGTGGTCTTCACTGAGGTGTTCAGCTGTGATAGTTTCTAGTCTACAGACTTCACAGTCTGCGTGCAATCTCTTCTGTAAAAATTAATAATAAGCTATTAAGCAAGCAATCCAAAGTGATGGCATCTCCTGCTTCAAGGGGCAGAGCTCCCCCACAGCAGGATTGGGACCTTTTTAATCCTGGGGCAACAGTACATGTAAATAAGTACAATCTACGGTGTAAGTCTGCTTTTAATTTTCTGTAGTTTACAGAGAAGTCACTACTGCTTTCCCTCCCCGCCATCTTTCTTCTGTGGGTAACCATTATTGCCTAGGCTGGCGTCAAGTACTGGTCTCTGAAAACAGAAGTTATTTAAGTCTTTAAAGAGTTTTAATTCAGTAGTGTCCTGCCACAGCTGGCCATTGCACAGTATTTTTCCAGAACAACACAAGCCCAAGACAGCTCTACCAAGCCATTCTATAGGAGAACAGGTACCTAACTCCTCTCTCCCCAGGATCTGGGCTAAGCTTGACATCTACTAAATTTAATCATCTCAGCTCAAAGAGCATCAGGACTAACATACGCCAGGTTCTGGTTTGTGAGGCTCTTCTACTTGCGTATCTGGCTCGTTGCTTGTGTGCGCCACGTCAGGACCTCTGCTGCCGTTTCCAGGTCTCCCTGGAGCATCTCCTCTGTCAAAAGGGCCTCTGTGAGTGTAAGGAAGCTTCTGCAAATAATAGCCGTCGGGGTCGCTCCCGTCATAACGCCCAAAGTCTATTTTCTCCTGTTGGCTGTCAGGTGGAGGAAGACTTTTCTTCTGAAAAGATGTTAAGTATCTTAACATAGACACTGATGATCCTGCACCATAGAAGAAAGCCTGGAGGGGGGAAAAAAAAAATAAAAATTTGCACCCTATATGGCTTTCAGGCAGAATTCAAAGTCACATAACTGAAAAACACTGAAAGAAAAGCTCAGGTGATCGGAAGGGCTACAGTAAAACTGAAGCGCTCTGCAGCCTGACCACACTGAAGGAACTCCTACAGGACGTATTTCATCTTTGGTGCTACAATAAAGAGGCTGACGGCTCCTACGCGGTGCTTTCCTGTACAGAAAATGCCAATTATACACATCCCTGTGTACTGACACAAAAGGGGAAATGGGAACTAAGCTGCAATAAACTCACAGAACCCAAGATTTTAGCAGTTTAATGCTATTTTATCCCACTTGGGGAGTCGGGGAGACCAGCGGGT